AAATCCCAAGCCACACAAGGACCCACAAAGGCACGTTGTGTAGCCTCAGATTGCTACAAAATGTCAATGATTGTCCTCACTTCTTGATTGGAAATTGCATGTGATTAGCAGTAGCCATATCTATGTGGGTTGGCTATTGCATTGAGGACTCCAATTCTGGCTAGTATAACAAAGATAACAACCCAATATGTAGGGCTGTGGATTGGAGAATTATCTACTGATTGAGATTCATAGGTTGGAGCATGAGGTTGAGGGGCCAAAATTTGAGAACGTAGTAGCTCTCTATGCCCAATGGGCCCAATTGGGCATTGCCCATCCCAACTCTATTCTGTGTGTCGCAAGTGCTAGGATCGAAGTGAGGTGACAACCAGTTAGGCGCCCTATGCACACTACAAGTGAGCACATCAGGCAACTCACTTCATTAGCTCTCGTGCGCCCACTCTACCAGGGATTAAATATCCCTTGAATAGCGCAGAGCGATCACGCATCCAACCACACCAATATACACAATAAACTTGCTCATCAAAAGCAAGGTGGGCGCACCATATACACATATGCCAAGTTAACTTAATAGACAAAAGAGTGCATTCCATATTCATTGAAATCAACCTTATCCATCAAATTTGTCAAGCCTACCAAAAGACTAGATTACCTAAGCTCCCAAGGGGCAACACTCCACAATATAGATATTCTAACTCCATGTGGCAAACTTCATAGCAACTTTGCTTGAGAAGTGTGATGATTGAATTCAATATTGATGTTGATATTAATGTCAGCTCTCTAGTGTTTCTCATATGTTTCCACAAACTCCCTCAACTCCTAGGCCATCTCATAGGTTTTGCTATCACCAGGTACATCCTTTGCAGTGGTGGATTCCTGAGGACAGACTAGTTGAAGTGTGTCTACTGAAAGACTCGCTTCCCCAGACTCAACACTTCCAATTCGATGTGCGTCTACCGAAAGACTTGCATATCCGGACTCAATACATCCCGGTTTGTTGGTATCTTGATCAGAGACACCAACTAAATCATGAGTTGCAATGGCAACCTTATGTATTGTCTCTCTTCTCGGAACAGCCTCTGCCCGCGGGGCTTCAAATTGTAGCATGCTTCTCACTTGGTCAGATCCAGCTTCCTCAACAAGCCGGGTAATAAACCCATACTCAATCACTGGCTCTGACACTTTTGCTAGTCCAACGTCTTTAAGAATAATCGATGATAGAATCTCGGTCCTTTTGCCACTATCACTTGGCCATCTTTGTCATCTGGCCCTTTCATTGAGTTGGGTGTTTTCCGATTGTTGTCCCCGATATTCAACGATTGCTAAAGTTTCCCTGCCTTCCTTCACCCTTGTTCTTCTTTATATGTTAATCCCTGCTCCAGTATCCTGCGTTGACCTTGTGGCAGCAGTAGCACACCTTATTGTCTTGAAGGTACTTCTTCTCTTTTGGAGTCAAAGGCTTCCTCTGGACATAGATTGTCCCAATTTCCATTGGCTCAGGTCCTCCAAACGTCTTTAGTTGAAAGGTCTGGAGTCCACCAACGTTCGACCCACCATGCAACGAATTGCCTTTGAACCAACTTGGCTTTCTACTCACGCCTTGGCTAGAGACTCAAGTAAGCATATTATTAGCTTGGTCGGCATATCTCACAACTTCCTCAAACGTTGTTGGCTCTTTCAATTCCACTTGCATCTAGACATTTGTGTTCAGAGCATGAAGGAACTTGTCCAGTTTTTCTGCCTCTGAGACATCATCGATCCGAATACACACTTGCTGGAACTTACACAAAAGGTCCGACACAGGTTCCTTCTCCCTTTGCCAAAGAGCATACAACTCATCCCTCACCCGGCGAGTTAGATTGTCCATTTGGAATTGTCAACGCGGATCCCTCTTGAACTCATCCCAATTGTTCACTCGATTGCCACTTTCGCACAACTCATGCCACCACATGGCAGCATGCTCTCTTAATAGTAATGCAGCATATCCAACACAAGAGGCGTCAAGCATTCTAGTCAACGACATGTGCTCCTCCACTTGGAACAGCCATGTGTCAACATCACGATGTTTGGCACCGTTATAAATCTTAGGCTTCTCCACTTTTATGCCCATTGGTGCCACTCCATGACCAGCAATTAATTTGGCAATCAACTTGGCCATATCCCAAGTTTGAGCACAAGATCAATGGTCACCTCAATATTTGGCTCTCTATCTCTTCTTATGCAGCATGGCCATCTTTTGCTCCAATTGTTGGTTCTATTCGTGGGCTTGGTTGAACTCTTATATTAACTTCTGGTAATTGTTGGCGCGGTCCCCCTTGGCCGCGTCCAGGTACCCTGGCCCGCGCTCTAGGGCCTCTCCGGTGGAAGCATGGTCGTCCTTGGCCGGACAGCGTATCCCGGGCTCTCTCTGGCCCATGGGTGACGGCCGCTCTGTGCGGTCCCGTCCGAGGTGCGCGGCGGCTGCGCTTGAGGAGGCAAGGAGGCAGTGTGGTCCAGAACGATCGAACTACAATCGGCGCCGCCGCCAGGCGCTCTTACATGTGGCAGCCAAGTTCATCAAAGTCATCATATTCATTAAGAACCTTCATTTGGCCAAACCCATTTTTCTGGCTAAAGGCCTTGCTACGCTCGGCTCTTATGCCTAAGTCATTCTAGCCTGCTCCGCTTTGCTCTGCATACGGCCTCCACGATTTTGGCAATGGGCTAAGCTCTGCTCGGCAAAACAAGAAAACCAACGGGTCATTACCATAGTAATGCTCCTCCGCATGGTAAGCCCCCTCCTCTCCCAATACGAATGGTTGACTATCATGGTGTGCCATGGAGATGGATATATTGCCCCTTCAATGCTCTTGGTCACTCGGCTCCGAAACCACTGTAGAATCCCCCAGGATAAAGGCGACTAGATTGAAATGGAATGGCAGCAGTTGGCAATATATTATAATGGTGGTGGACCCCCTGGTCCAGACAACGTCGAGTGCACCAGCGAACTGAGACAAATGGCCTATGGGTTACCCACTTTTATAGGTGGCGTGCTCTCTCTCTCGTCATGACACTCTCGGCCTCCTGTAGTGTCCGATACACTCCTGTAATTCCAACCTTGGCTTCCTGTAATGGCACCTCGGCCGTTGGAGAGCCACTCACATGGTCTTTTGGCCCCTTGGCATGCCTCTAGTAATGCCAAGTGGATTCTCCAAGCTATACCACGTCCCTCCAACGCACCATGGCTATAGGGGCGCTTGTACTTATGATCTGATGTAATTTAGGTACTTAACAGATACTCGTACTGCCGGATCAAACCTATAATCCCTTGGAGTGTACTTCACCATTAGACCAAAAATTGGCCCATTTAACAAGATGAACGTGGCGATCATGATTAACACATTTTTATACTCAAATGAATTTATCTAAATTATTTAAGTGATTTAATTATCTGTCATAGTACAGGACAGTATCCAATTACTACAAAGGGCCGAGCGTAGCGAGGCCTTTAACCCGGAAAATAGGTTTGGCCAAAATAGAGAACCTTAATGGATTTGATGACTTTGGCCGCCACATATAAGAGCGCCTAGTAGCGGCGCCGATTGTAGTTTAATTGTTCTGGAATGCTCTGCCTCCCTACCTCCTCGAGCGTAGCAACCGCGCGCCTCGGATGGGATTGCACAGAGAGGCCATCACCCACGGGCTAGAGAGAGCCCGGGAGACGCCGTCCGTCCGAGGACGAACATGCTTCCACCGGAGAGGCCTTAACATGTGGGCCAGGGTACCTAGACGCGGCCGAGAGGGGACCGCGCCGACATGTATTGACGGTGACACTATGCTCCAAGGGCAATGCCAGGTCCCAAACTTGCATCAATCCCAAATAGAGCCCCTGAAGCACGGTGGAAGGCCGCTAGTGTGCTGACAATCAAACATACATCTGTTTTCCAAAACAAGTCAAATATCCACAAAGGTTGAAGATTGCATTAGTTAGGGTTAATATGTTGTGGTTCTTGTGTCCACATCATGTCTCAAGTAAGAAATAGGCCACCGTTTATAAACACATCTGCGGGGTGTTGTTTTGCATATTGGCCATTGTGTCATCCAAATACTGGCCAACTCACTGGAAACGCACCACAACGATTGATTGGTTAAGCTTAACACCCACTTGCCACAAACTATCTACGTCTCGAGCTGGGGAGTTGTGGCAAAAACTGCCCATTTTGGTAGGACCGAGGGTTGGATATAGGGACACAGAAGATTCTATTGCAACTGCTATTCTAACTGCAGTGCACTATTGAGATATTTGTCTTCTTCACAACATAATGGACTAGCAGGGATTCTGTGCAATATACCACGCCCCAGTCAGCGGCTTACTGTCATATCGGATTGAAGTTCAGTTTTGGCTCGGAAGGTTTCCCTAATCATAAAGGTACTCACTCATGTGCGACACGTTGATGCGTCAGTCGATGGCGGCCTCGGGTTTGTTTGTTTGGGAGGACGTGACGTCCTCTTGAAGTTGTAGGTTGTCGCATCTAAAAAAAGGCACACCATAATGGCCGGGATTGGAAATTCTACACAACCCCTCCACTTCCAAGCCGTGCCCACCAACATGCAATGCGGCGCAGCAGGCGCTCCACTGCGAACGGGGGCGGAAGATGCATGACCATATCCGAACACTTGCCCCCACTTTCACATCCCACTTTCTCAGTGACTGCTGTCTCAATGACTAAAGTCACACCTCCCGGTGAAAGCGCCCGCCACGGCCTTTAACCCCACTCCCGCAACTCAAGCCCAACTAAACACCACCTCTCCCCTGCCTCCTCCCCCCCTGGGTTCCTCCCCCTTCCCACCCTCAGCCCACCAGCGACAACCAACCCACAGAACACAGGGACCCCGCCGCCCAGCCATACCGCATCCTTGTCCGCCGGGCCCTTCCCTTCCTCCCCGACCTCCCCACAGCCGATCCTCGCCTACCATCCGCCTCCGTTCCCGGGCGTGCGGCCTTCAGCGGCCGGGGCATCATGGCCCCCCACGCCATGGTGCCGCCCAACTACTTCGACGTCGTGAGGCACATCGACGACGGCAAGAGCAGCTCCGTGTACCACTGCCGTGACGTGCGCGAGAGCGACCCCTCCGCCGCGGACGTGGCGATCAAGTTCATCCCGCGCGGGCCCGAGACGATCGACGAGCGCGTGCTGAGGGAGGTGCTGATCGTGCGGAAGCTGCAGCACAAGCACATCGTGCGGTTCCGGGAGGCGCACCTGAACTCGCGCCACCTGTGCCTGGTGTTCGACTACGTCCCCGGAGGCAACCTGGAGCAGTTCGTGGACAGCCGCGGGTAATGGGATCCAAACCCTGCATGCTTGCCACACTCTTGTTGCCCTTCGCCTTTTTTGCCTTTCCCCGCCTTGCGCGCCGCCGGACTTGAAGGCGGGCGGCTCTGCCGCGTGCCCGGCGCCTTTAAAGAGGGTCTGAGGCGGATCTCGCCAATGGGTGCCCTTTGCCGCGCTTTTCTTGGCGCGGACTTGCCGCTGTCCGGGCCCGCATGCCCATGCGGACAGCTTTGCGACGTCGTCCGCAACGGTCGGAACGCCGCGACTTGGCCAACTGCCGGGGACTTCCATCCCCCTTTCCGGCCGCTTTTCTCGAAAGGCATCTTACTCTGCGCTCTTGCCGGCCTGTTTCCCTCCGTAACCCTCTCGGCAATCCCAAGAAACCGCGGTGCCCTCCCGACGGCTTTTGGCCTCAGTCCCCACCTTCCCCTTTCCCCCACTTTGCATCCGCCCCCTCATCCCCTTCCCCCACGCCTGTTTCAAACACTTTCACTGGCATCGATCGCCCCAGTCCCCCCAGCCACCGCGCGCCAATGCCCTCCCCCCCTCCCGCTTCCCCCACCTTCGCGTCAGCGACAATCCCGGACCTTCCCGTTAACGTCCAATCAAAAAACACCTCCCTCCACAACTGACCCGCCTGTCCTTTCCTCCGTAGGGGCACCCTCCCCGAACACCTGGCGCGCTACTTCTTCCAGCAGCTCGTGCTGGGGATGGACTTCCTGCACCGGGTTCCCCCCTACGGCATCATGAACCGCGACCTGAAGTTGCGCAACATCCTGGTGGACGACCCCACCAGCGAGTTCCCCATCCTGTCCATCTGCGACTTCGGCTTCGGCAAGGAGAGGGACCCCTGCGTGCCGACGGTCAGTGCCGTGGGCACGCCGTTCTACTTCGCGCCGGAGATACTCTACCGGTCGAGTTGGGAAATGAGGTGCGCCACAGCCCAGCCTGCTGGCGAGACACCGCCAGAGCGTTCCGTGGCGATTCAGCATGGTCCAATAGCCTCACTGTGTCCAGCGCCGGGGTCAGCAGAATTGAAGGCATGCCATGCAGGGAGCCCCCTTCCTGAGGAAGAGTCCTGGGCTATTCTTTTCCACGTCGTGGAAGGTGATGCAGCGGTCTCTGAGTGGAGCAGGGGTGACACACAGTGCAGAGCAGCACGAACGGCAAGCGTACGTGTTTGTGTAGCACTTGTTTGGGGCAATGGGTTGGACTACTTGTCAGTGACGAACAGCTCAACGCAGTGCAGCCTCCCGGATGCGGCGAGATTCGCCCCCCAAGGTAGTGTGAGGGTGAACAAAGATCAACTAAGCGAACAAAGGACCTGCTTTTCTTAAGAAGTCCTCATTGGAACCATAGTCTGGGAGCAGCAGTAGTAACTCATAAACATGTCACCCAGTGTGCATCCCCTCTTGAACACCACCACTGGGACTCATTCCCAGTCGAAAGAGAAGATGGTCTTGAAAATGCTTGCAACACACATGCCAACGTAGAAAAATCCAAATCAATTGGCAATGTTCCAGACTGCGGAAGTGTGGAAGTCTCCAAGTGCAATTTCTGAAAATGGCAACAATATGAATGGCAGGTGCAGCTGCTGAGCAGGATTATAGCCATCCATGAAGTTTCTGGAAGCAATGGCAACGAAAGAGCCACATTTTGAACCTGCAAATCTCATTCAGAGCATGCACACTTGGGGTAATTGTCATCAGACAATGATCATGCGCATCTTAATTGCTTGAAATTGCGCAGCTGCAATCTGTTGGAAAACAGTTGACATCCACCTTCAAGAGCACAGCTAGGAACGCAGGTTGACAGAGGTACCTCTGGCCCTGCTTGCACCCCGACCATCCCTCGTTCAGCCACAATAAGCCGGTGTGGGCTTGCACTACCATACCTATCTGAGTCTGGCATGTGTTGCGATGCCACAGGTATGATGGGAAAATGACAGACATCCATGGGATGGGCGTCATTCTTTACAAGATGCTGTATGGGGAATTCCCTGAGTTCAACGAGACTGGTGGGGAGACGCTGGAGGAGAAGCTGCTCCAGCTGAAGGTTAATACCACAAAGCTCGATAAGTCTCCTCCCAGCCTGCGAGCATTGATGCTGGGCCTTCTGGAGCCCGTCCCAAGTCAGCGGTGGAGCGTCGACAAGGTGGGTGTGCTGATCCTTTTCTTCTATTTGCTTGTTGAAGAATGAGACCCAAGGCACTGTTGAGCATGCATATTTTGGCCTGTTTCTAGCACAGTTTGCAAACACATGAATTGAACATGACTTGTGCACACAGTACAAAGCATACGATGTCCAATTCATTGCCAGCCTATCAAAGAGCGACCAACCAGTATTCATTCTTCTATAAGGAGATGCTGGGAAATCCTTTCGTAGAATGCAACAGACAAGCTTGATTTCCAAAAGCACCATCTCCTGGCCGAAATCCTAACCAGGATCCTTTTGCACACCATACACGCTGAGTTTCAATTCGCACTGTGGACAGGTGTTCAAGAATGAGTGGTTCTGCCTGGACTTGGAAGAGGGCAGTGCAGCATTGAGGCAGTACAATGATGCCATGCTGGCACAGTACAACCAATGGGAGGACTCAAGAAGGGAGGTGCAGAGCGTGGAGCGACTGAAGATGATGGTGAACAATGCACGTGCCGAGGCTCTGTAACCCTTGTAGCTTGCAGGCATACTTTTAGTTTGGGTTGAGTTGGGCTGGACGTCTAATGTCTGGGGAGAACAAGTATAGGCTGTGTTGCGTGTGACGTTTATGTCAGGTGGGGGTTGTGCATGACCGATTCCAATGTTGTGTGCGTTCAGTGAGGTGTGCTGTGCGAACAGCTAACGTGGCTCATCTGTGGGTACTAAGGGGGTATGGATTCGAGTGCTTCTTGTGAGAGTGTGCCTGTTTTCCCCACGAAAAATCAGGGTAAATAGTCACAGCGAAATTTTGGATGTTTTGAGGGATTGGTTGACGCGGTTGGATGTAGGAGTACAAGGGCCGAGGGAAGGACAGGAACTCTGGTTCCAGACTGTTTTGCCTTCTGGTTAGTTTTGGGGTTGGGTTTGCTTTGCTGCTTTGGTTTGGTGGTGGTGGACCCTGTCCACAGTGCTTACCCATTGGGGCAGAGGCTTTTGCTGCAGACAGCCTGCCGCATTGCATGGATCAGGCCCAACGATCGCATTGTTCTTTCCCAATGGCCTCAAATCGCGAAGCAGTAGTGGGCTCCTGAGTGAAACCCGCTCTGTTGGCGTTCGTCTTTCAGGGCAGGCTGTGTCCTTGTGTTTTAGACCATTGAGGAGTGAATTCTTGCAGATGCCAATCAAGAATAGGGGGCACTCTGGCGCACCCTTGTGAATAGTTAGTCTTGGAGAAAAGTGACAATTCTTTCAGTCGTGGAGCAGTGGAGTTGGATTGACGCATTGCCAATAGCCTCTTGGCACAGTCTTGCTCCTCCCACGAAGTACCGACCACTTGTGGGCTGGAATCTTTTGAATGGGCTTGGGGCACCTGACGCCCATGCTGATTTCCGCCATTCGCTTGGGGGCTGCCAGTCTGGGTCGGACGCCAGGTAGCAGCATGGCCTCGTTGGTGCACCCAAAAGCCACACCGTGTCGGTTAGTGTACTGAAGCGGGTCCTCCGCTGCTAGTTTGCCGGGAAAAGGTGGTGCTCGAATCAACCCTGAGGAGCACCTTGTAACATTTCATTGTTGTGGCATTCTTTCTTGGCTCATTGTACTTTACTTGTCGGAGCATGACAAACACCTCCTTGTATTTTCCTTCCGGGGTGATGAAGGGCATGATTCCATCCACTGTGCTCGTGGCAGCATGTTCCAGAGTGCGGGAACCTTACCGCTTCATCTAGGCTGCGACCCTTGTGTCGGCGCATGCAGCACGACAGTGCTCCGCTCAGGCTGTCGTCCAACCGGGTGGCTGGCTCCGTGCATGGGCTCCGCTATTCAAGTATGTCCCGCTGACTCGCGCCCCTTTGTCACGCTGCAGAAACTGCGAAAACATATGGGATATTGGAAAAGACCGATTAACATGTAATCATGGGCAGCCGCGCCGCTGCCAGGGCCGGGGCCAGGGCCAGCCAGGGCCGGCCCTGGCCCAGCATCAACACCAAGGGAGCCTTGACATGGACTCGCTTCATTTCAACCCTGTAATTTCACCCTAGCATTTCCCTGGCATGCCTTTAAGCAACAGAGAACTTGATTCCGTGTGCAGTACTCTGGTGGTAACATGCAGGCGTAGATTGTTGTTCAACTGTTTAACACATCCAAATCACTGCACGCATAAGCTGCTTCGATTGCATTCATAGCAGGATCTTGCCGTTGTAGAACGGCAGATTTTGACTGCGCGTTCCGTGCAATTGGTTCCGTGAATACCGTGCAGAGATATTTGCCGGCCCAACGTACGTCTTTGTCAGGCACGAGGTGGTTAGCAACAGCACGTCATTGTTCGGTTCGACAGCAGATTCTGGCACGTTGGCAGCAAGTCAAGCCTAGTTTCGCAACCCCAGATCGAATCCCTCAAGGATTCATGCTGATGATTTGGGATCACACTTCAGCGGAGCCCAACATTGTTGAATGTTCATGGAATCTCCATTTAAAAGGGGCGTGACGGTGCAGCACTTTCGTCCCAAAATGCCTGCAAAAAAAATATGAAAAGCATGCTTTTGGTCAAGAGGTACTCGCCATCAGTTATGTATACTCACTATACTCACAGGAAGGCACTGACAGTGCTCTGCAGGACCCAGAATGGGCCCAACCGTACACACCAGGTGCTGGCACAAGCGAAAGTCTTTGCTCCCTCCTCGTTCCATTGACGACTTGCGCTGACTAGAAAGTCAGCGCGGCTGCAAATTGACGCTGATGCTCTTGGACGTCAGAAAGTCGGCAGAACCCCAACCTGACGTCCCCGCGGAAAGCATCGAATTCAAACAGTGAGAAAACGCACGAGTATATCACGTTCACTTCGGACAATGTCAACAGTGGAACGTCGCTCGCACGGGCCCACTTGGGCAGTCCAACCGTCACCAGGTGTTGACGGTGATGTATCAACCGTAAACGCGCAGCCCTGGGGCAAATCCCCAACGCATGCCCGGGCCCTTCTCTCAGGACAGCTCTGGCGCCATTGGCCTCCGTCGCCTCGTGGACCCTCGGGCTGGCCGGCAAACCAAATGCGTCTGAAACACTGCTAGTGTCAAACGCACCACCGTGGTGTGTGACCACCACATCACCGCGGTGGTGACCACCACACCGCCTCCTGCCCCACCTCCTGCCATGAAGCTGCGCCCGCAGCCGCTGCAGGGCAGCCAGCCCGTCCCCCACGAGTCACACAGCGAATTCGTCGAGTGCTCGCAGCAGTGTAGGTTTCGCTCCGCAGTACTTCGCGCCCCTTCGCGGGCCCGGCCAAGAAAACGGGTCCGTCGAAGCCTGTAGAATGTTCCTGTCCCAGGCACCGCAGCCAACAGGAACTTCAACCCAAGGCCGCGACCAGGAAGCCGCAAGAAGTTGCAGGAACACGGGCTTGCACATTCCCCGTCACAGTCAAACGGCCCATCACTTACATATCCGCCTCTGCATGGAAAGCGCAGCATCCATACCGCGTCCCCCCCAACATCCTTCACCCAACGCCCCTCTCCCTTGCCTTCCCACAGACGTCACACACAAGTCGCCGACAGAAAGCCACGGCGCCATGGTGAACCCTTCGGACACGCCCCAAGCGTCCCCATCATCCCCTCCCGAGCAAATTATCCCCCCGCGTTTCATTCAGCTGGTCAAGGAGATCGATCGCGGGGCCACGGGGTGCGTGTGGCTGTGCCGCGACACCCGCGTGCAGGTGGCGGGGAAGGAGGCCGTGGCGGTGAAGTTCATACGGCGGGGCAGCGTGGACGAGCGCGTCAAGCGCGAGCTGCTGATCGTGCGGAAGCTGTACCACCGCCACATCGCGCTGTTCAGGGAGGCCGTGCTGGGGCCCACGCACCTGTGCCTGCTGTTCGACTTCGTGCCCGGCGGGAACCTTGAGAGTTACCTCAAGAGCATGGGGTGAGTGGGGGAATTGGGGGGCTGTTGGATCATTTTGGGTCATCGGGGGATGTCTGGCGCAGTGTTGTGGCTCATGTTGGCCCCCGAATCAAGCCCTGCTTTTGAACATGAAGGCGTTCTGTCGATCAAAGTGGCTGGGGAGGACGTGAGAGGGTTGTGTCCTTCGTTTGCCTTTGGCGTTGATGGACGTTTGGGTCGGGCACCAATCAAAGCACTACCCTGGCTGTGTGCCACGAGAGTGGTGCCTGCTCTGAGAGGGAAGGGGAGGCGACCAAATATAATCCTTGTCGCGCTAACATCTTTCTGGCAGCAGCACACCAGGGTTGTTGCTGTACATGCACATGCTCTTTTGGGAAAGCGGCTATCCCGAATCAATGCCACACTTGTTGAGCACATCGCTGCACAGCAGGATCTGATGTGTTTGTGCCCTGGGCAGACGACCCAAGCTTGAATGAACCAATTGACATCGGCACGTTTGACTTGTGTTGACATGACTCTTTGCTGTGCAATATCCATAACAGAATATCTCTGATAGCATAACCATTGGGCCATACTGTTCTAAGACCTTTTGACACCCATTCAAGCAAACCAGCTGTTGGCCCAGTTGTGTGTTGATACAGACTGGCCCTTGCCAGGCAATCAACACCGATGTGATCGGGACTGGTATGTCAAGCCAGTTCAGCTAAAGTCCATTTGACCCTATTAAGTTCGATTGACCTTTGTGCCAACTGTCCTGTCTCCAGCGGAATCCTGCCAGAGTACATCGCGCGCTTCATCTTCCAGCAGCTGGTGCTGGCAGTGGACTTCTGTCACCAAGTGCCTCCTGATGGCATCATGAACCGCGATCTGAAGCTCAACAACGTGCTCGTGGAGAATCCCAAGGAGCAGTTTCCCCACATCGTGCTCTGTGACTTCGGCTTTGGGAAGGAGAGTGGGGCAGAGCCCACCATAAGCCACCTGGGCACAAAGAACTATGCTGCTCCAGAAATCATCTGGAGGTCGAGCAGGAACAACAGGTAGGGATTGCCACCATTCGAGAACCATGCTGTTTGGCTTCTTATGCTATGAGTATTCTGCTTGGGATGTTTTTTTCAGGTTGTGGTGCACTGGTATTGAGCACTCTTTTGAGCAAGTGTGCTGCTGGAACAACATTAACACAATTGACGTTGTAGTCCATGATCGCCTTAAAAACGTTGGGGAAGCTCTTGGTCATTCTTTTGACTAGTGTGTGCATGGGATGATGAACGATCCACACAGTCTTCTGTATCTATTGGTGGCTTGACACAAACAACACAATTTCGAACCATGGTGAACTGAATTGTTGTCCCAGGCAGTAGTAGCATTGCGAACTTGCCTCTCCATGGACAATTCCAATCTGTAGCAATCTTGGTGCAGAAGTAAAGGAAGAACACAGCCCAGTATCACCTGAATCATGGACTGCCATCCACCACAACAAGTTCTTACTGTAGTCTTAGAGGTGGCTCACAAGTCTGACTTGGTGCCGCTTGTGGCATCCCTATTCCACTATGACAATCAGCAGGGGAGCACGTGTTTTGTAGACATGTGCCACAACCAGTGGGTCACTTTGCAATATTGCTGTAAGAGAGACGTTCATTCACTCCCCAGTTATTCTCGATTCCCCATTCACCTGTTTGCACAACATGCAGTCAGGACAAGTACTCACCACCAGTGGTGATTCCCCTCAAACCTGCTTGGGCGTTGTGTTGCCTATGTAAAGTGATTGTCAAGGTGGTTTTGTTTAGTTGCGAATCGTTAAGGTAGTTGGCACTTGTGCTTTGGGATGGCGACGAATGGCCATGTTTGCAATGGGTCTGTCAATGCTCAGCAAACTTTGTATAAGAATGACCAAAAAAAGGCTGCCACAATACTGATCCACTCACGTGTTGCCCAAAGCAGCCTGATTGCTCAAGAGGCTCCAAGAGTATTGTACTTTGAAGCCTGCAAAAATGGTCCTTGCAGCAAGCCAATACGGCTGGAGCAGATTGGATATGTAGCAGTAACGATGAACAATCGAAGGGTTAAGAGAGCGAGCGTGGAGCAGTTCTCATCAATCAATGCTTGGGGCTTCTCTTGCATTTTCAGCAACTCACAGTGCTGGAATCCATTGACTGATCGGCTCTGTCCGCTTTCCTTCTCAAGGTACGACGGCAAGAAGACGGACATCTACTGCCTGGGTATCTGCCTACACCGGATGGTCCTCGGAGCGTTCCCCAAGCACCCAGAGGTGAGTGACAGCGATAATCTTGGTAGCATTAACTCATTCAAAAAGTCTGGCAACACAGCACCAGTTAGCGCACGGACATACTGCGCCTGAGCCCAGCATGGTGCCTCGTGGTGCTCCTGCAAGCACAAATTAACGCCAAGAAACACAAATTGCAGAGTGCCGAAGTTTTCTTTATCTTTCTTTAGACTGAACATTCTTCTGGACCGAACAATTTGGGGGCTTTGCGCCGCCTTGCACTCCCCTGCTGACGGGGGAGGCACACGGACGCTGAAATGTGATGCACTTCGTAGCTGTACGCTGAAATGTGAGTAGCATTTGGGAATCGAAGAAAAAGAACACAAAGTCGTTCTCTCCTGCAGGCGGGCGAGGGCCAGCCGAGCAGCGCGGAGGAGCGCCTCAGGCGCATGGGCCTGGAGCTGCACGGCGACCTGCGCGTCCTGCATGGCTCCCCCCAGCTGGCGGCCCTCCTGACCGGCCTCCTGCAGCCCAACCCCGCCTACCGCTTCACCATGGAGGACGTCTGGCGGGACCCCTGGTTCCAGACGGAGCTACCGGTGAACGACGACGGCAGCCCCGTGCGCAGCTACAACACCGCCATGCTGGCGTTCCACGCCCAAGGGACGCACCTGCAGGACGGGCAAACGGAGGAGGATCTGCGGCGGATGGTGGAGGAGGCCAGGGCGGCGTAGCGTCGGTGAGCAGGGGGACCTGTTTCGAGGCTGCCGGGGGTGCACTGCGATGATTGCCAAGGCGTGTGTGCTGCGCTGGGGCGAAGAAGCAGGACCTTGGGCAATACCGGCCCTGCCAGAGCGAAGTCGGCACTTATCGTGTGCTTTGAGTCCTGAAAAATAGTGAAACACCGAAACAGTGGAATACTGAAAAGTGAAATACTGAAAAAAGACAGGGGTCCACCATGTACTTCAGAAGTACGTAGTTCCTTTTGGGGATAGGGGCACTTTAAGTGCTGCGTCGGGGGTCAGCCGGCCGTGTGAGTAGCTGGACGCCTTTTGGCGCGTTGTGCGGTGCTCGTTGGTGGTTCGTTGCCGCCGCTTTCCTGAGGATAAGGAGACCAACGGCGGCTGCCCGTTGCCTGGATCTTGTGGCGCTGTGGCCGGCTCCGCGCCCGTTCTTTTCTCGAGAGTACAGGGGACTGGTTGGGTGGGTGTCTAGCAATTGATAAGCACCCAATCTCCTTGCACTGAGCGTACAATTTTGTTATGCACAGCATGTGCAAGGCACCGACCTGGTCGCCGTGCTCGCTGCGTTCGCGATGACACGTTCTTTCGCTCATCAGCGCATGAATTTGAATGTTGGCAGACCAGACAATTCGGCGCCAGCATCGCTGTGACCATCCCAAACTGATGTGTGACGCTTGGTGTGCTTGGTGTTGAAGGGCACCGTGCCTGAGCGCCAGGACCTACGGAAGGACAGGAAGACTACAATGGTATTTCGATTGTGCAGTGGGGAAAACTTTAGCTGAGAATGTATGTAAACGCCTGTAATTTCGAAAAGAAAGAATTTAGCACGAAGATCAATTTGATGCAGCTTTCGCTTCGATGGTTAGATTCGATGAGATTTGGCAGCGTTGGTGTGTTTCCAAGGACAGTGATAGATTCTACCACATCGCGAAGAAATAGTGCCAGTCAGGTTGCGGGTAGCAGATGCGTTCAGCATTTGAAGTGGATGGGTCATATTGGGTTCCTGAGGCCACTGGGTTGCCAGTAAATGCCGCATGTCATGCTTTGAGGAGGACTTTGTCGCGGTGCATGCAATTTTTTGATTTAATGATTTCGTTTGCTTGCAGGCAGTTTGCGAAGATGCACACAAGGGCAATCAGGCAGCAGATCGAATTTCCTGCGCCTTTGGCTTTGTAAATTCTGTTGTGCAGTGAAAAATAAGCACACCAATATTGAAATGGTGAGGCACGATTAATGCGAAATAGTCAACGGTTGGTTGCAACGGGCAACTTACAAGCTTACCATCATCAAAGACGCCAACTGGGCGCTGGGCTCCAGGAGTCCCTTGCACTCCCCCACCCCCACCCTCCCTGATCCTTAACACCAATCCTTGTGTCGTTGCCAGGATGACTCAGTAACATTACCTATTTGGGTGACGTAACATCAAGACGTCTTCTTCACGGAAGGCAAAGAGCCAGAGGTACAGCGATTGCAAAGGGTTGACAAATGGGATGTTGAATGTTCCGACAGGCGACAGGGGGCGCCTAGAGGCACATCAGGGTTCTGTCAAGACTGAACGTCCAAGGTTTGACCTGGGTCATACAGCATGTCACTTGTTTGTCACAAAGTTGTACGACCTAGGTCATATAACTAGTCACTTGCTTGCAACTCACCAGCGCCGGTTTGGGCCTTTGATTGGTTTATCTTGATTTTCGACAAATGCACAACCTCTCAACGTCATATGTTTTTGCACACATGTTGTCAAATTCGGTAATCCCGTCGTCACTTTGAGGCCAGCGTGGTTGAGGTCCACAGTGCATTCCCTCAGGCAGCCGCAACACAGAAAACTCGCATCGGTCACACTGGCAATTGTCCCGCCAGGACTCCTGTGGCCGAGTGACCGAGGGACTTGCACATGACTCAAAATGACAACCACAGGGCCGCCGCGCATCAATCCTTGGGGGTGATGTAGTCCAGCCGTCGGGCGCACATTCAAATTTGCCGTGTGCGTCCAGCCCTCGGGCGACATCTAGTACACCCACGCCGCCCATTGGCGCTAGAGCCAGGGCCCATGCACCAAGCCCTCCCTGATACGAAAAGATTGTGGGTGTGGGGCTCCTGCCCTCTTTGAGCCGCGGACCCGCCTCGCCGGGCACCTAGGTCCTTACGGGGACCTAGGCAGGACCACCCCTCCTACTCCCATATCCTACTACCTACCTACCTACCTACCTACCTACTACGGAGTCACTTGGGAAAGGACACCCGCATACGAGCGCGGGAGCCCAAGGCGCCGGAGTCGTCAGACAAGTAGGGGGAGATGGATGACGAAGAGGAGCAGGGCGAGGGGGGAGAGTGTTACGCGCAGCGGCCTGATGTAGGGGGCGCCTTACTAACGGCTTTTGGTGTGGGGGATGCCCTGCCCAAGATAACTATTCCTCAACCCATCGTAACCACTCTAGGTACTACCAGACATGTCTGATATGACGAGCGGGTTTGAACCTGTTTTGCCCTCGATGCAGCACGTATACACAATTCCTCGCAATTGGACATGATGATCTCACTCACATTGATCATGATTGCCTACTAATTCAAACTTCTGGCTATCCACCCTCCGGGAGATATTTCCATCCATGTTGTTCGATGTAAATATGGTGGCTAGGTACACCGCAACCACAAGGTACTTCTATAGCACTGTTCAGATGTGGATTTGACATCGGAAATAGCTGCCATGAGCACAACCATTTTGCACAGTTTCTGCTTTTCCATAAATATTGTGGAATGAGCTTTGCGATTCTTTAAACAAAAAATGTATTAAAATTCAGCATAAATATAAAAATTTGCCACATGTAAATGAACCTCACGTTCTCTACAGGCTCATAGAGTGTCATTTGCAGTGCGGTCAAAGGACGCGCCAAATTACCCACTGAAAAGGATCAGGGAAGGAATTAGCATAGAGTGTTGCTGCCAAATCCACTTTTGAGACAGCAAGTTTTTACCACACTTTACCGTATTTCACAAAACCGAGAGCACAAATCCAACAACCTACCAAATGCTTACAGCCTGTACTTGTCCACTACGGTCCTGAGGACCGTGGCAGAGATTTTTACTGATGTCTGGATCTCTGACCGGTGCATTCAATTTGAAATGGTGAATGTTTTATCAACCCCGATGATTGGCATTGAAAATTGTCTCTTTCAATTTGTGCAATATTGGCATTGGCGAAATTGAAATATTTCAAATATCAATTTCTGCATTTAAGATGTAAGCTATATTTTCCAGAAGACTCATACCTTGTAAATTCATAATTTTCTGCATAGGCCTACAGAGAACAAATCAGTAGGTTCTTGTCCCTGGGTTGAACTCTTCAAATCGCCGTTATTGTGCAAACAGTTATGAGCGGAATTTTCGATCTTGAAACGCCTATGTCCATATTCGTAGTACCTGCAAAATCGGCACCTGTACTATTGGAGTGTTACAAATGAATATGCAAGCCAGTGAACTTCACGGAAGTATTACAATACTAGGTAATAATATGCAAAAAAACTGAATCGATAAGTTGATATATTGATAATGCACATTGAGGTAACACCAGAGCGTGTTGCGTATCAACCTTTTTAACTGTGACCAACTTGCTTGTCTTGACGCCCTTGTGTACGACACGAAAACCCCTTAACTCCTAATGGCTGCTGTTGAGCGGCGCAATCGAAACAAATGATGTCCATTTTATACGGTTCAATTACTAGCTCGTGGTCCATTCGCACGACCATTTCTGCTTGCTGCGCTTCCGAACTTCAAATTCAGCATGCCAACCTCAATGGAAGCCGTTGGCTTGCGCTCGTCATTCAGACATACAGTTAAGATTCATTTCAAGGAATTCGGCGCGCCGCCTCCAGGAAGCGACATGGTTCGTTGGGTGCGGAGCATGTGGATGGCGTAATATCAGGAGCAATATTAGGTAAATCCCCAGCCGCAGATCACCGGCATGTCACTGTCTAATTCCATTGAGGCAATCTATTTGTTCGCATCTGTAATATTTTTGTGGTGGTAATAATTTCTACTCAAATGTTACTTCTGCTATTTCTACGATAAACGCTTTAGAAATCCACGTATTGTGATTGAATTGAACTGTACTGAAAGCGGCATTACATCCATTGAACACTCGTCAGGGTATTTCCATCACGAATGCCAATGCCGTCTCAATGCCATCGACATGAATAATATCCTGTGTGTGCATAGCTGCAAGTGCGATCCAGTGAAGAATGAAAGGAACATTTCGGGTGAATTTTTGCTGAAATTAGAATGTGAAAAATAAATTCGCAAACGAGTTCCAGGCCCCCAGCCACCCAAACAAGGAGCGAGGGCTCTGCAGCCAGATGCACAATCATTAATTTCAAATTTGTACACCGGTCATCCATGAGATCTTCTGAGATCCCCAGCAGTGCAGCGATTTGCACATTTCTCCACCAGTTCCTTCCGCGTGAGTACAATGCACTAACAACCCTTTGGCAGCGTCGCTTTTCCAAGCATGCTTTGCTGGTGGCTTCGTTCCAGAAACGAAGTATTCCCATTACCTACTGGAATCCAACAGCATGGAGCTGCTCTCGCAGCCTCTCATCGAGGCCCATGTTGAAGAGCAGGTGGCCAAGCACGCCATTCCAGGCTCAGCAACGGGGATGTTGTGAACGTGGCCACAAATGTGGAGAGGTGTCGAAATATTGCCCGCTTCAGATAATATGAATAATCCATATGCGGCATTGAAATTACGCTGTCGCTTTCCAGTGCTGCAGCCGCACTTACTATCGTGTATCGGTGACATGACACGCATTAGAATGGGATAGAGTCATGCAATATCGTTACCGTGCCTTGGATGTTGATCAGTATAATAGGTCTGTTCCAAAAGTCTTGTCCGTTATCCAAATCGTGCAAGTAGAGGTCAAAACCTGCGATTCGAAAAATCCCTCCTAAAGCAACTTCGATGCGGCACATTAATAGCTATCCGTGAAGCACTTGGA